CTTCAGACCATGGCAGAGATGATGGAGCTCATTTTCATGTCTCCAACAGTGGTCCAGTAGCGGGGTGAGTGGGGAATGACTTTGGGAACAGAGCTGCCATGGTCAACAAATGTAAGAGGGTCGAGTCACCCTGCAGGTGACCGTCCAAGGGGTCACCTCCCGCCTGCCTGCCCCTGGGCGGGACAAGGAGTGCGTGGTCGGACGCTGCCCAGCCTGGCGGACCCTGCACCACAGCACTGATGACCACATGGTGGCAAGTGCTGACGCAGTTTCTCAGCTTGCAAATCACCCTTCTGTTTGGTAAAACAAACTGTTTGCTATTGGCTCTGCTCTTTGCTAACCTCAGGTTTATTTACTCAGTAATTTATCAGCCAGGGCGCAGGCCAGCATCGTGGTCAGGGCCACCATCAGGCTCCACCAAGCACCAGGAGAGCGGGTGTGTGGCACCACAACGTTTAGACCTGTTCGTCCTTCTGGGCCGCTCAGGGATGGCGGGGAGATTCTCCCTTTTTTGGATAAATAATGTGGGAATAATAGTCCCCTTCCCGACTCCAGGCTGTTGCTGCCTTCTGGCCCACCTCAAATTGCCCCAAATCCTGAACTGAGCCTTGGCAGCGCGTCCTGCTCTGCTCCAGCTGTGCTTAGCAATGCCTGCCTGGGTCTTGGCTGGTATCCAGCTCCAGTAATAGCAGTAGAAATGCAATGAGACCTGTTGGGGGAAAAAACAAAAACCAGACAAACCTCTGCCCACCCTACCAACGAGAGGCACGGTGCCTGGAGGATGCAGAGAGCCCTCTGCATCCTGCGCTAACGTACAGCTCTGTCACTTTGGTGGTTGCCATGATGCTCTTCCAGAGAAGCTGTGGCCCTTGCTGAGCCATCACTAAAGTGGAGGGGCCAGAGGCGACAGCGATGTCTGCTGGGTGCAGGGCATCGTCTCCGTCCGGTCCGTGGGCCAGCTCAGGGGACATCTCCGGCCTCAGTGGCAGAGCGGTTGCTCGCTCCGTGGCTGGGCAGAGCTGTGTCGTGCCCTGGCTGAAGCCTCTGTGGCTGTCCCCTTTTGGTGATGGCACGGCCGGTAGACACCCAGCAGCCTGGCACTCGTACACAGTCACATCGGTGGGACAGAGCATGTTGTAAAAGCGGCCATACTGCCCTTAAAGTGTTTGACGTACTGCAACCCGGGCTGTGTGACGGTGACACTGGTGGCAAACGTCTAGTTATATGTGTCAGAAGGATAGAAACCTGAATCGCTCCATGACGGTGACACAGTGGGGATGGCATCAGGGCCTCTGCAGCATGCCCGCTGTGGGGCACGGGGAGGGAGCGGAGATAACGAGCTGCTTGGTGATGATTGTGCCGGTAAGACTTTGCCTGGCGGTGTAAAAGGAGCTAATGCATTGCCAGGTTATTTAATCTCAATAAATCATTTAAAAATATTCAGCTGTTATTTACATTAAAGCAACATTTGATGCCTCTGGGCAGAAACATAGAGGAGATTCAATATTTGTTATACATTAATTGAGCAGACTTAGGTGAGTAAATTTACTTTAATCGGTTTTTTTGCCTAATAATATTAAGCCTAAAAGAGAATGAAGGAGGGGTTTGCTGGAGCATTCAGAGCTGTGAAAAATCTGTTGGTTCCTCACGTCTGATCACGTTTTATAGAGCTTAGGAAAAAGCCGAGTCCCAGCTCAGCTGTCCCACAGCCCCCGCCGCCTTCGCTGGTGGGGGGTCACGACAGGGCTGGCTCTGTCGCCTGGCGTACCTGGCTGCAAGGCTCTTCCTACCTTCAGCCGGTGACAGTCACGCACTTCTTTATTTTTAAGCACATCCTTCACTTCTGTTTACTTAAAGGCAATACAGGCAGTGTCCCATCAAATAAGTGTATTAAGGTAATAAGAAGGTAATTAGTGAACAATTTTAGAACATCAAGCTCTTCCCAATTTCAGCTTGGCCTCTCCTGGCTGGTAGCTCAGCGACCAGATGTTTGCGCAGACCCTCCTCTGTAGCCACAGCAGCGACCGTCATCGTTACCTGCCGTTCATTGAGTGGAGAGACGTTGGGAGGAATTTGCAATGTGTCCCTGCGGAAACAAAGAGCTAACCTAAGGAGTGCAGTTGTTCACTGTGAATAACTATCTGCTCTTGGATGAACACCGTCTCTTCCCCGTGCTGACAAGCCTGCAACCCTCTCCAGACCCGGAGGGCAGCACATTTTGCCATCTCCTTCTTGCAGAAGGGGCCCCCGCTTAAACACGACCCTGGCCGCAGCTCTGCCGTGTGCGCTGGGGAAGAGCAAGGACCCCTAAAATAAACATGCCCCCATTGCAGCCACTGGAAAATTAAATGACTTCTTAACTGGTTTGTTAAACCTTCAAGCCAAGCCTTATCTTTGCAGGGGAGGTCAGGAGAAGAGCAGATGGCAGAAGCCTTGTTTGGGGTCGTGTGTTTTCAGCAAGGGGCACCAGCCTGGAGCGGTGGGCACGCTGAGCTGCCGCTTCTCCTTGTGTTCCTGTGCGCAGCCGGATTCAGGCACGCAAAACTCTCGACTCCTTCAGCTTCTGTTTCTCAACAACAGTCCCTTTCGCGCTTTTCCAGTCTAACTGCGGTAGTTTTGGGGACGTGACATGGCTGAGGCAGCAGAGGAGCAGCTGAAGGGATTCACCGAGTGGGAATCGCAGGAGCCGAGGAGCCATGGTTTTCTCTTCCCAGGTGCAAAGCTGAGGTCAGCAGCAGCTCTTAGTGCTTCTACAGCACTGACGAAGCTTGGCCAACGTTGTAGCTCGAGACTCAGACTTTGCCGAGAGATTGGATTTCTGGGAACTTGCTCCGAATCAAATCTTAATGTTTTCAGGCCCCACAACCTCAGACCAGCTCCGGCTCCTGACAGCTTAACATGGGATTTTGAAAGCAATGGGCTTGGCCTTACTGATGCCCCATCTGATAACTTCTCATCTTCCAAAGCAGCGAAACTTAGCCATAATGAGAGAAAAATGCAGGAGAAACCCCCGCAGTGGCTGGACCTGCTCTTTAGACGTCTACCCCGTTCACAGTTCAGCAGCGCCTAAATGTGGCTGCTGCTCCCGCATCCTCCTGGCCAGCCCCGGCCGTGCCCAAAGCGAACCCGGCTCTCAGTGGCCCCACAAAAGGAGCCGAGGGTCCCCCCGCTCCCGGTTTGTGCTGGCAGCCCCCCCACTTCGCCCTCCCGTCTTCGTGGCTTTCTTTTTTTTACGGGGCCCGCGCGGGGGCGCCCGCCGTGTGATTCACAGGCACAGCTGCGGTTCTGTGGGAATAAAACCCTCCTCTGCCTCACGGGCCGGAAGAAAATCAGAACAAACGTTCTTAGGAAAGGAGGAGCAGGGTAGCCAAGCCAGAGTAAACAAGCACTGAGAGGAGGGAGTGGGAAGGGGGGGCCATGGGTGTCAGCCAGCGGACGCTAACTGGCTGCGGCGAGGACAGTGATGGGTTTCTCCTGTTGCCTTTCTGGCAGTCACTGGTTCTTCGTATCTCCAAAGAGCGATCGATCCAATGGATGCTTTGATGGTGGCATCTCTTCTGGTTGAACCCAAACCAGCTTGATTTTTGCGGCTTTAGGTTCCAGCTCCATTTGTGTCTCTGAGCATCCGGGGGCTGGAGCAGCACCTTTGTTTTCTTGGCCACGAAGGCAAGCAGTCGGTGGGGTTAGGAAAGGTGTGGGGCAGCGCGGGGCTCTGCATCCCTCAGCGCTGCATCAGCTTGTCCCTGGGCCACAGCAGAGCTTCTTTGTAACACGTGTGAGAGCAGCAGGTGCCAACGGCGGGCATTTGTTTAAAAATCTGGATCTTTACAAGCAGTTATGGGGGGTCAGCAGAGCACAGGCATGGCTGGACAGCAGCAGCTACGCACGGCCGTAGGGTTTAACGCCACTGACGGCTTCAGATGCTGCAGATCCGAGTCCGTGTGTGGCTTCAGGGCCCCTCGATGGTGCGTGTCCTGCAGAATCGGCGCATCACATACACGAGCAGCGGAGGCCGACACCAGCCCTGGGAGCGAGGCGAAGCTGCCTGCATCAGCACGGTTGATGGAGGATGCACAAAGCAGGGACGTTAAATGCGGGGAGAAGAGCCCAGTGTCCCTGGCTCCCAGCTCCACGCCTGGATGTGAGAGACAGAATGGAGACGCAAACCTGAACTTGCCTAAGCAATTCGTCACTGGCAGCTTTCAGATGCTGGCTCGGAAAAGTCTTTTGGGGTGTTTGTTATCCAGCCACAACAAGCTTGCGTGGGCTGCAGTCTGGCATGTGTAAGCCAAGAACTGCACCGTTTGGAAAACTAGGAGGATCCCTGGTTTCCACACACATGTGTACGTCCCACCTTAGTGTATGAGGTAGCGTGGGAAGGGACGTCACATTACGAGACCGCTGCAGTCTCTAGTGAAAGCCAGTATTGCTGCAGGCCTAAGAGCAGCCCAAGTGAAAGCAAGCTGGCTCTGGTCTAAAGGCTGTGAGTGTGTGGTGATGCTGGTGAAGTCTTTAACTACCCATTATGGTGTAGAACTGAGAGCCAGCGTTGTCTCAGCTGAAACAGGTCAGCTCAGAAGTTCTTGTAGCCCAGTAGCATGCCCCAGCGTGCCCAGTAGTGGATGCTTAGAGCAAGAGAGTAAGTTGGTGGTTACAGAGGGAGCCTTCCCCCTGTGCTTGCTCTCCTTGTAGCTGGTGGTTTAGGCTTACGCAACGATAAAGCCTTTTTTTAAGACTCCAAGTCCTTACCTCCTGTTGAAAGATGTTTGCGGGCAGGGGCGGTGCTTGGCACCTCTCAGGAATAGTAAGTGAATCACCTCCCCAAATCACTCGGTGGAGGTGTGGAGCACAGGTGAGATTTTTTACCCCTGAGGTTCTCGCAGGGGCGTGGGTGGGGCTTTTGTGGCATTAGCCAAAATGCCGATGGCTTTAACTGCAGGGAAGTCACGAGCGCTCATTTATATAATGCCTCTGTCTTGGTTTTGTTCTTGATGCTTTAGGTATAATAGTCTGGTGACCGGCAAGCGGGCAAGAGGACTCATCGCTGTGCTGTGGCTCCTGTCCTTTGGAATCGGACTGACTCCGCTTATGGGCTGGAACAAAGCCATGAGCGGTTGTCCCAACGCCACCAACGAGACAGGAGCTGACACCGGGACAGAGCACCATGTCTGCTTCATCTCATGCCTCTTTGAGAACGTGGTAACGATGAGCTACATGGTGTACTTCAACTTCTTTGGCTGCGTGCTGCTTCCACTTGTTATCATGCTGGGAATCTACATTAAGATATTCATGGTCGCCTGCAAACAGTTGCATCAGATTGAACTGATGGGCAACTCCAGGACCACACTGCAGAAGGAGGTCCACGCAGCCAAGTCTCTGGCCATCATTGTAGGACTTTTTGCCTTCTGTTGGCTGCCCCTGCATATCTTGAACTGCATCACGCACTTCCACGAGGAGTTCTCTAAATCCAAGCCTGAGTGGGTGATGTACATGGCCATCATCCTCTCCCATGCCAACTCTGTCATCAATCCCATCATCTATGCCTACAGGATCAGGGACTTTCGCTACACCTTCCGCAAGATCATTTCCAAGCTCCTCTGTAAGACGGACGACTTCCCCAAGTGCACCACTGACAACCACCAGCACCTGACCGTCACCAACATTAACTCGCCGGTAGCCTCTGTGACCATATGACCTCGCGCGTCCTGCTCCTGGGATTTTGCGGTCTGTCCCTGACACTACCCTTCCCTGTGCCTACGTGAACAGTGACAGCGAACTCCCAGAGGAGTGCTGAGATGACCACTATGCAGTTATGCAGCTGTATTTTTATTATTTTTTTTTTAATTTTTGTAATTAATGTAGTGCCTCATAGAGGAATAACCTGACCAGGGAGACTGAGTGCAGCTCACCCTCGACTGTAAACCCAGGCTGCGTGAGTGCTGGTGGTCGTATTGTGTCTCCTCTCCAGGTCAGACATTGACTGTGGAAGACCCACCTGTGGGAGGGTGTTTCCCCAATTGTGCTGCTCATGTCGAGTCCTAGGATCTTTATTTTAATTATTTTTTTTTAAACTTTTAGGAGTAATAATTTTGTGTCTGTTTTTAAGTTGTTCTTTAAGTCCATACTTGACAGCACTTTGGTAATACCCAAATTATTCCATCAATTGTTTGATGCAGCTAGTATTCTCTGATGGGAAAAAGTCTTACTTAGCCCAGTCGCTGGTGTGAAACTGAATCCGCGTTCCAGGCTCCGAGGGGCGTGACTGTGGTGATGGGAAAACAGGATCAGAACTGGCCAGCTATTTTTGGCCCCAGCATGGAAGCCCTACTTACTGAAAGAGAAAAAATTTAGAAAAGAGTTGACTGACGTTTTAGAACAGTGGTTTTATTGCCTTTACATCACTTTGGTTTACAGGATCGTGCAGACCAATGCGTCAGGTTTGCTTTCAAATCTGTTTCCAGCTATCAAAATGCAAATGTGCCCTAATGGTCTCAGCTAGTCTGAGCCAGAGCCACGGAGGTTAGTGCAAGCACTGCCTCGGTGACATCATCTCTACAATTAGGTTTTTGCCCCCAAGTCAAAACTTGACAGCCTTGCAGTGCTTCCAGAAGTGCAAGTTGTAGCTGTGATGGTTGACAGCTGGGCGCCGCAGCCCGCCTGAGTCCTGAAACTTGGTCTTGCTGAGGTTCCTCTGCAGCCCAGTAACCCCCCAGAAACTGTGAGTGCTTTTTTTTCTCATAGTGATTTTTATCTTATATTATTATTTTTTTTTCAATCCTGACCTGCATCAGTAGCAAGAGAGACTGGAAGGGAGCTAATTTGCTTGAGAAGCTAGAGTGCCTTGACTTGTGGCCTGATTTTGGCCACGGTGTTTGGGGAAGAAGCTCAGCGGGCAGATTGCCTAGCCTGGCCCCCGCGGTTAGCCAGGTGTCCCGGCCCTTCGTGAGGACAAAGCCCACCCAACAGCGGAGCAGTCTTGATTTGTACTGCAAGTTAACAACTCTCTGCAACCACAGCTCAGTAATTACCGCACCTGACTTAATACCTAACTAACTGTGATATGCAAAATGAGACAAAGGTAGAAAGAACAGGGCATTCATTTCTGACGTCTGAGCTCTACTTCTCCAGACCGCATGACGGCACGTGCGCTGCTGTAAATGAAGCAGTGTTTCTGGCATGTCCTTTAGGATGCAGGGCGGGTTCACTCCACAACGGAGAGGAATAGGGAGGGGAGTCAGAAAGACACCACCCAAACAGCCTCCCTGCTCCGTGCCCGAAAGCCGACTGCAGTACAGAGACCCAGCTGTTCTTGACTAGCTCGGACCTGCCATCACCTCGTGGCCCTCCTACAAACGGGAGTCTTGCCTGAAGGTCCCTACGTGGTAAAGTGGTACCATCTCTCTCCGAAGCCCTCGATGCCAGCAGCATCACCATGTGAGAAGCTGGAGTGCAAGGATGTGTATTAAATACGGTTTTCAGTGGTAACTAACTCGTGCAGGGAGACAGAGCTAGGGAGCGGGCCTTTTAGAGCCAGGTGGTAGGGAAGGAAGGTTAAACACAGCCAGTTCCTGAAGAACAGGTCCATGGACAGACTGTGATGGCTAGAGCAGTTTGTCCCTGATAAATTGTACTTGAATCACATAGAAATCAGCTTTCTGTTTTTTTAACTGCATTGCACTAAAAGGGGAGGGGGTGTTAATATAAGACCCCAAGAGTTTCCTTTCTCTGGCGTATATAATAATAAATACAGTATAAAAAATCAGCTGAGAAGCTGATCTGAAGAAATCCTGTTCCTGCAACATCTGCTGTGCCAGCCGGCATGACCTGCAGGCAGCAGCTGCAGGTAGGACTTAGGGCCCACCACGCAGACAGAGACCGGTTCACTAGGTGTGATGGATTTTGCTACCGTGTGTGTAGCAGCTCAGCCCAAGAGCCAGCCCCAAACCCGGGTGAATCACCAGTAAGCTCTGAATGGGTTTGTATGTGTTTATGCAACGTCCAAATTTAGCTACAGCTCAGTATCTCAGATACTGGCACTTCCCAGAAGAATCCGAATAGTTGAAGTCACTGTCCCAAGTGTTTCTCCTTTAACAGCCCCATTCAGCTTTGCTGCATCTGCCTCGGCCATAGTCCAGCTCACACATGGAGCCACCTCCTGCCATTTGGGAGGAGGATTTGCCTCTCTCCTCCTTTCATTCCTCCCCTTTTGGCTGTGTTCCTTCTGTTAATCATGGCTGGAAACAAGCAGGGTTTCACCTGCAGGTCTGGCAGTGTTGCAAAGTGGTTGCAAGCCACATTTATCCTTACAACAAAGAATGTCATCTCTCCTCTCCTGCTGGCAGAAAATGAACCAAGCTCCGGACAGCACAAACAGACTGAAACACACAGTGCTGCAGGAGAGGGAGGGCTGGTCCCAGAACACTTGCTCGTATGTGACAGCTTGCACTGCAGCTCGGCATCCACGGCCGCTACCTTTCCTATGCCTCGTATGAGCCAGAATTCCTGCAGGCAGATGTGGTGTATCCTTAGCATGACCACGCCATCGGGTTGTAAGCCATTACTAACTATGGCCCGGGTCATCATGGGTTTAGGCACATTAAGTGCCTTTATGGATCTGAGCCAAAGGCATTTCAAGGCAAAATAAAAATAGGACACCTCCCTTGCCCCCCTCAAAAAAAAATAAAATCTCTGAGGGTTTCCATAAAAATGTGAAGTCAAAATGGCAGAGAAACTTTCTGTGGCGAGTGCAGCTGTAGCTATTCAGCTATCACTCATTACTGCTCTGATGTACATAGGACGGATGTGTTTTCCTCATGTTGCTCAGATTTTGTATTTGCAGTAACTGTTATTTACATACAGAATGCTTAATTTACCACCTACACAACCTGGCTCAGCCTGTGCCCCGTTATTTCTTGCAGTGGTGTATTCACACGGTGTATCACACGAGGCCCCGCTGTACACGAGCGGGAGCCCAATCTCAGGGCATGGGCAGGGAGGCACACAGCTGGAAGGAAGGAGCTGGTTCCCAGTCCCTGGCTGCTGTGCGCAACGGGGGAGCCCCAGTCTCCTTTCCCCACTGTCTGATGTGGACAGCAAGCCAGCGCGAGGTGGTCAGCTTGTCTGAAATGGGTCGATTTAAAAAGCACAGCAATCAGGGTGATGCTTCCAAAGATCCTGTATTACAGTTCAGCACAGCGGAAACACACACCTGTCATCAGTCTCGAAGTGCTGAGGGGTCCCTGCCCCAGTCCCTGGCACAGCTTTGCCAGTGATGAATCAGAAATTGCTCTGGGCAGCCAGCTGCAAAGAGCCACTGCAGCGTCACTCTGCCAGGGGCCAACTCCACAAAGCCACCCAGGCACTGGAGGGCGGTGGGGTTAGTCAAAGCACGAGCAGAGTTAACAAGGTTTAACGGGTCACTAAGAGACCTGCTGGATTGTTTGTATCCCCACATCACAAGCACACATTACAAATTAGTTCCAGCATCTTCAGAAATCCCAAGAATAGCCTAAATAAATTAAACAGAAGTCAACACAGGCTTCTTATCATTTATTAATTAATCTATCGGTGCAAGACTGCTAATTAATGTCACGCTTGGCTGCAGCACAGGTAGAAACCTACCAGCCACGAAGAACATTTGCCAGCCTTGTAGATATGAAAAATGCCAGCTACACAGCTGGGAGGGTACACAGAAAGCACATCCACATGTGATCCAAATCCTTCATCCTTCATCCTCTTCCTCAGCCAGTAAGATGCTTGTGAGCTGCTCCTCAGAGACAGTCAGTTCCTGGCAGGCTCCCATGGCCTGACTGAGGTAGACAGCAAGTATATGTTTGCACTGCAAATAATAGCACAGCCAAGTTAACAGCAGGAGCAACACAGGAATGTCATGCTCTATCTGGAAGCCACAAAAATCCATCCTGGCCAGAATGGGTCTAATGAAGCGCTCACCCCTCCCAGGAACACGGTTCCCTCTTGGCATGCCAAGCCCTGGCATAGGCTGGTGCTCCAGCTGCCCCAGGTCAGTTCTGCCATCGGGATAATGTAATACAGGGACCTGACACACACAGCCAAGTGTTACCGGCTCCTGATGCCCTCCCCGCAATTGCAGACCAACTGGTTGCCCTGAGCCCTTCCTCGCTGGCACCAGGTGAACTGTGCCGCTTCATCAGCCAGACTCCATGTGGCAGTCCCATTAGTGGCAGTAGCCCTTGTTCCAAAAGACCAGGGATTATTCATAAGTCACAACAGTAATGTGTAATTAAGAACAAAAGCCCTCCCTAGCCCTTGTAAGGCTGAGCTCCACCCAAATACCAGGACTCCCAGAGGCCAGATTATGCAGTGGGTCAGGCCCAGCCTGCGTGGCCAACTTAACACTCATGTGTTTGCTCCCTTGGAAACTCCAGGCTGCTCAGGTTCAAGGAGCAGAGCACAGCCTGCTCCTCCGCTCCCTATCCCGGCCCCAAGTTAAGGCAGACAACTCACCAGCAGGCTCTCGCTCTTCTGCAATACAGTAAACCCAAAAGCAGGACACGTGCAGAAGTGGCAGGAACTGTAGCAGGTGTAGAGTTTGCCTGAGCTCCCAAGGACCTGAAAGGAAGGCAGCTGGAGGGGGTGGGAGTCAGAGGCACCATTCACTTTTAATTTCTCCAACTCTTAGCCTGTATCTGGACTGACACCCTCTCCGCAATGACACACAGCACGCAACTGGCAAGCAGGTGTCACAATACAAAAGTGTCCCCAAACACTGCAGTGACCCATCTAAGCCTGAAGTTCCTCAGCTTTCTCACAGTCTCTACACGCTTCTCTCCCCACAGGCAAGGAAGGGCTCCTGTCCGTAAACCTCGGCTCCAGTGCCTTGTCTGCTGCTAAGAGATGAGGAACAGGCCAGGGGCACTGAGCACAGAGCTCCCTCCCCTGACCTCCCAAAGCCGGCAGCACAGCCAGCTGCCAGCCCCTCCGGCAAGTCCCCCAGTACTGGCAGACACAGAATAGCTGAAGATGATGAAGACCCTCTTGTCACAGAAAGCCCATGTGTGAATCCAGAGCCACCATGGGCCTGGGGATGGACGGAGAGCAGCAGCGAGCCCTTGCCGCAAGGCCTTTTCTAACTAGCTCCAGTGTCGGAAGGCCGCAAGGTCTCTTGCTGTTCTGCTCCCAAAACCAGCTGCAGCTATTGGAATCCAGTTTTGTCTGAATAAACAAAGTTGAAGTCTCCAGAGAAGAAGCCTCCCTGCTCCATCTCTGGTTTGGGAACAGCACTGCCTCCCTTTCCCACGTGCCGTTCTTCTGCAAGGCTGGTACTGAGGCATATTCCCTCTGCCCCATGGCCACGGGATGCAGGCAACCAGGTGAGGGGAGCGTTCATTTCCAGCATGGAGAAGCTGACAGGCAATCCGTGAGCTGCTGGAGCTGACTGCGTGGTATAGCAAAGCCCACCTACAGATTATTTCTCTTTTGTTTTCTTCAAGACTGGAAAATAGCTTTTAGAAAGCTACTTTAAGAGCCAACTGCTCTGCCTTCTCCTATTGCAAGGGAAGGGTCTGCAGGAGCAGAACATACTCGCAGACTCGCGCTCAATAGCATGGACTTCACTAACGCTAAACTGAGTGCACCCCATGGCCAAAACACAATTACCACAGAGTATTTGCCGTGATGTGTCTTGTATCTGCCACAGCGAGAGCAAGTGCTTTGTGTCAGCTCTGCGGCCTCGACAGCTGGCACTAATTCTTCCCCGATATTCCAGAGACCGGTGGAGATTTACATGGGTGTAATCACCAGCAGTGCCCTCCTCCGCACACATGCCCCTGGGCTCTGATGGCACACCACACTCATCTCCCATACCAGGCTTTAGATTGTGGTTGGGTTTGTGGCACAGATACACCTAAATCCAAAGATAAACACAAAAAAAGTGAAAAGACAGTGGAGCCTCTGGCACTCCTAAGTCCCTCCAGAGGAACATCATCACTCCTGGTCCAGAGCTGCACTTGCAAGAGGAGCCTGCCCCTGTCCCCTGGAGCTCTCTCTGCACCCCTTGCCCAACAGGTAACGTCCACAAGTTTAAGCTCTCCCACAGAAGCACCTATGCCTCATAATTCCCCTTAGTCCTAGCAGATTCAGGACACAAGACTTACATTCCCATTTCAGGGTAAACCATTCTTTTCTCAGTCTAGCCTTTACCCTGGGCCCTCCTTATACTCCAGGCTGAGTTTGTTTCACTTCTGATAAGTTTGTTTTTCTCTAGCCCCTTTGATTGTTTTTTTCCAAGATAAAGTATTCCGATGGTGCCTTTCCTTCAAAGTGTTTTCCTTTGAGGAGGGGGGGAAGACACAGACACTGCCAGATTTGGGCTGAGTTTAGTGTTTCCCCCGTCCTGACCTAGATGGCAAGAATGCAGCTTCTGCCTAATAAGGCAGAATCTAAAATCCTAAGACCAAGAGAAAAAGGTGCCTCTGTTTCTGGCCAGCTGCAGCCAAGCCAGGCACTGGGGTGCTCTCTTGGCCCTGAGATGCTGTGAGATTTCCTTCCGCTGCCCTCATCTCCAGGCACTTGCTGGCTGCATAGCGAGGAAAAATCACCTTGGTGGTGGTGTCCCTGCCAGTTTGTGGGGACGCAGGAGGGCCAGCTCTGGCACCATGGCAGCTACCGCTGCCACCAGCATACAGCTAGGCAGCACCACAGTCTGTGCCAGGATCTGCTACTCAAATCCTTCACGGCAGGGCAGGCTGCCATACAGTTCTAGGAAATTAATTAAAAAAGACATTAAAAAGAAGTACCCAATAAAAGCGCAGGATGTGAGCAACGCAAGTGACGGTTGGCAGGAGGGCTAAAGCACTACCTCTCCCCCTGCTAACTGGCTTCACTCCCACAGCTCACAGCTTTTCTGCAGCTCAGGCGCAGCTGAGTTGGTGCCCCAACGGCTGCCTGATCATCACTTTACACTTCTGCTGAATCCAGCACAGCTCCATCATCAGCCAGCATCCACCATCTCTGCAGCAGGTAAGACTTACTTATCCCTGACCTGGAGTTACAAGGGTTGGCTTTAGTCTGCAGCATAAGCAGGTATTATACAAGCTCTTCTGGGATGAGTAACAACTCTGAGGTAACATCAGCCCTTGAATACCCCATCGGTGTTACTCCTCTGTTAAGTAGCAAGGGCATTAATGCCCAGGCACTAAATGACAAATCAGAGCTTTCACTGGACTGAGGGCTCTTTCTTCTCCCATCTCAGTTCCTGAGGGCAAGAGCTGCCTACACCACAGGCTGCAGTCCTAGGGCCTGTCTGAGCAAAGCCGTTTTCCCCTGAAGAAGTACCTAAGATGTGCTGGGTGATATGGAAGGCAAACAGCATTTTAGCCTGTGAAGTATCAACATCCCAGATTTGGCTATGATGACCCAAAGGAGTTTCACAATAGGACCAGCCGCATGGCCTCAACAAGAACAGTTCTCCAGATCCAGCTGCACGTGAAAGCACCACCTCACATTCCAGCTCAACCACATCTGGGCACAAACAGCAGAGCTGACTTTCTGGGGAATAAGTGAAAGGGATGACTCTATGTGTCCAGGTAGCCATGGATGCCCCCCTCTCCCCACGGCACTGGGCATGCTTCTCTGCTGAGAGAGAAGTGCACATAGCTGGGATATGTGTCTACACCACAAACACATGAATGAAGAGCCAGTGACGCCACCCAGCTACTCTTAAGTGCAGTATCCCACTCAGTGTTTCGGTTTCTATGGCCCCAGCTTGTGCTCCTGTCACTGCTCCAGCCAGTGGCCTCAGGGGAGGCTCTGCTCTTTGTTTCTGCATCTCAGACAGCTGTGCTGAGGAAGAATTTTGCAATGGGACCAGCCTCACACCCCCAGAGAAAATATCTCTTTGGATTCCGCTGTTAATGAACTCATCAGCATGGCGTTAATCAGCAATCAAGCTCCACTAAAGAGGAATGCTGCTCAAGCACACAGGCACTTGCAGGCAGGGACTGCGTCCTGCAGGCTGCCTGTCAGCTGGGAGGACACATAGGGCCTGGGTGATGCAGGGGGACCACTCATGTCACACTCATCAGCTACAAAGGGTGCTGAAGGCTGGGCTTGTCCTAAGTTAACTCCTGGTGACCAGCCCTGACCTATCTGTCCAGGGGCTCCTCCTCATCCTCATCATCCTTCACACAAAAGGGTACTAAGTGAAGACTGTGCATCCTAGCCTGCAAAGCTCTGCCTTAGCCTGCATGGCCCAGCAAAGCTCTGCAAGGAGAACGTGACCATTCGCTGCCCAGTGGCATATTCAGCCAAGCAACAGTAAAAAAGCAAAAGCCTTTAAGCATTCAATTAGTGAGAGAGCTGCTGTCTATGGGTCCTGGAAACAGCGCTTCTTACGCTTTACCAAATAGCCACAGGCAAGCCCTCAACTAAAATCAAAGGCTGTGTTCTTGAGCCCTGTGTGTTTATGAATCATGCGTCTCTGGAGGGGCCAATGTCCCTTCCAAGGCCCCAGAAGCGATAAAGACTCCATGTGCAAATCAAGCAAGGCAAGTTCTCAACACGTGGGTTTGTGTCATTACCCAGGCCTGGCTTCACAGCTCTTCTCTTACCCTAGATGACCCCAAAGCATCTCAGCACCTCCAGTGAAGAAGAGAAGGCCCTTTGCAGGGAGGATATTTGGCTGCTACAACAGTGAGCAAAGAGATTTCCCCTTCTCTGGTATGTGAAAAAGCACGGCACCAGGTTCAGCAATGGAGGGGGCTGTGCTATTTGAGGGGGGTTAGTAGTGCTAAATAGAAGGAATTGGGTGCTTCTTCACCAAAAGCTTATGGGCAAAGGGTCCTACTGCCTTACCCAGGGCACAGCACATGGTGTCTCTCTGAATCTGTGACCCCATGGGCTGGATGCAGCTGGCCAACGACTCACAGAACGGACAGACTGTGCCCAACAGAGATGCTACCAGTGCTATGGCACAGTAGAGCAAGGAACTGTGCGTACCACAGAACAGTCTGAAAGATGTGCCAATGGCTCCTCTCTTCACCTAATGAGCCTTGGCTCCGTCTCCAATCCCATGCTGTAAGAAGAGTTTGATATTTAGGGCTAAGGTGAGCTCTTCTCCCTAAAATGCCATTTTATTAAGATATTTCTGTGATTCACAGACTTGGCTACAGTGAACTAGAATGAAACCCACGGATTTGGCCTGTGTTGCTTCCTCCCAGGCAGCAAGGATCCTATTGCCAAGTAGAGGTCAAGAGTGTTCAGGACACTGAGGATCTGGAGTGCAAGAGGGAAAGAAATGCAGTGATGGCAGATAACACTCCGTTGCGTACAGTTTGTCAAGAGGAAGAACTGCCTTTGTTGGAGAGGATGAAAGTAATAAAGCAAAATTAGCAATCCCTGGAAAATTTCCTTCTGACTGTGATACCCACAAACACGTAAGAAATTGTCTCTGACTGGCTGGGAGCCACAAAGAAAACGGTGGTGTACCATGCTGTTCTAATTCTAGGCCATGGCTACTGCTCTCCAGTATCGCCTGAGGAGTTTGTAAAACACCGATATTGTCTCATGTTTATCCAAGTGCCTTTCCATGTTCTGCAAGTTAGGAAAATATTGGCTTACATGTCAACTGGAAACCGTCAGAAAGTAAGACTGAAGAGGAGTGTGTACCTGGTATGCAGTCCTTCCGCTGGGGGACATGACTCGCGTGACAGAACGCTGGTCCACCAAATCCAAAGCTGGGACAGCAGATGGGCCAAATATGAACTTCAGCCTGAAAGAGAACGTGTCTTTAGTTAGGCGACGCCACAAAAGGAGACCACCTTGCTTAGCCTTAATCCACAGGATTTAGCCCTCTGGAGTCCAGAAGGCCTGTAGCCAAAGGTTCCCATTGCCTCTCAAAACACCACCAGTTACAGCTCCATTAATTACCCTGCCAAGCAATGAACTGCGTTTGTCATTCTCAGCTTTGCTGGCTTTCACCAAGTGACCACCAATCCCTGCCCTGTCCATCTGAGAAAATCCCAAGACTCAGTCCTTAAGGACAGCCTCTACTCTGCCAGCTATTCAGAGCTGGTTTTTTATATTCTTAAGAGACTTCCAAATTTCCAAGCTGCTCCCAAAGAGCCCCACATTTCTTTGCAAAATCCCACTCAGATTTAATTACAAGGCATTTTAAAGATTTTTGTTACACAGGACATTACAGCTTATGTGTTTCTTCTTCAGCACTACGACCCAAACACTATTCTGGCTGCCTGCTGCACAAACAGGACATGAAGTGGTTCCTGTCCTGAACTAAAATGAGACAAAGTGCATCAGAGACACAGAAGTGAGATTTTTTTAGTCAGTCTCTATGACTGCGACACAGTGTTAGCCATGCAGGTGAGGAGTTCTCTTTGAGCAGCGTTTCTGGCTTGACAGTCACTTTACAGACCACTGATTATTGTAAAAGGAGCGTAGGTGAAGCAAGAGACAGAAGTTGTCCTCACAGTGATCCGATCAGCCTTTTTGTTAGTATTCCCATAGTTCTTCCGATACAAACTCTATGTAGACAGAGCACTGGCGCTTAACCAAGTTATCAAACAGTGAATCTAGATGCTAAAACTGGAAACTTTGCTTCTGCCCAGCACCCTAAATACACTAGGTCTTCTTCAGGGGAAACTGCACCTCTGGCAGCAAAAGCAAGACATGCTGGGAAAGAGAAGGTGCAGGAAGGAAATCCTGGAGGATGCACAGTGCTGGGGATCCAACAGAGGTTACAGGCAGCCTCACGCATGCAGCCCAATTATCCTTGTTGCAGTAAACTGTGAAACTGTCACATGAGCACAACGAGCATAAACAGGGATTTTAGTGGGGGCAGCACCAGGTAAACAAGAGCACATGGAGGCAGACCTGCTAATGCTAAGGGGAAAAGGGGCTCGTGCTCTGGGACACCTTAATTGTACATATAGGCTGCCTTGGATGAATTACCCTGGATCAGATTATTGATCAGTTGGTCTTGAGTCCCACCTCCAGTCATGGCCCACGCATTGTGCCTCGGAGCAAGGAGAGAGCAGGGATGATGCAGAGCCCCTTGAGCAATAGGAAATGCAGCAGTAGGGCTCCCTCCTCATCCCAGGGAAATTGGTTTAAACCCTGGAGAACGAATGAATCATTTTGTAGTGATCGCATCTCCTCTATCACGGTCACAACTGAAGTATGAATTATTCTTTCTCTGCCCACCAAACTGCATCAATAGGCAGCTAAAGACCATCAAGGAAATACAGACACTCCACTGCACATGGAGCCACTGGATAGCAGTAGTTTTACATCTGCAATCCAGCTACCAGCAGGGCTCAGAGACAGCAAATTTATTCCAGATAAACATGCATGTGCCTTATGTCACTCCACCCTCCCTAAAAACCCCTTCCCTTTCCTTTCCTTCCAAGCAGGATACACCACCGTGCAGGGATGCACTACTGCACAGCATTTATGGACCAGAGTGTGCCTGGCATGGGGTAAAGACAAGGTTAACCAGGTTTGCTCAGGTACACATTTGCTGCCTGGAAAACATTGCCTTTACACAACTCTCTCCTCGGCCTCGGTGCTGTGAGGCAGCACCTTGGAGGCACACGCTGGTGTCCGGGCGCTGCTGTGGTCAGTTCTGTAAAATTCCACACCAGGAAGTGGAAGAATAAAGAGCTGTGAGTCCTGAAGGCACAGTAATTTCCATCTACATACTCATTGTCTGCACAGCCCTGCAAGGAGGATTTTAGCTCTCGCTGATGCTGTGCAAGGGTATATGATAAGCTGTATGTCAAATATGAACATCTGTACCTTTAGCCTATTGTCCAGACAGCTCACAGGCTTAAAGGTTATTCTAGACATGTGTATCCAGCTCCTCTGAATGTGTTCCAAAGAGCTCAGGGGCAATTCAGTTAACTTTACAGACCTTTTATCCGCTGAGAAAAATCTGTGTAGTCCAGATTAATTACAAGGGTAAACAACAAGAAAATCAGCAGTGGTGAAAAGATAGCCCAAAACACGAGCAGGAGGACAGGAGAAAGCAGAGGAACATTTCCAACTCCAGGGAAGACACAAAGAGCCAAGGCAGAGCCCTGGCGCCTCAGCAGCATGGCTGACCTACGCGTCTGAGTCAATCTCATTGATAACAAGCCAAGCAGACAGACTTATTCCAGGAAGACCAAAACTTCAGTTGCACAAACTCAAGGCAATAAGGACTGGCTTCATCTGAGGACTGAGAGGAGGTGGGTGGGGGAACACTCAACGTAAGACATTCCTTAATGATTAGGTTTGGGACTATAAGGGGGCTGAGTTTAATGAGTTTCAGTAACTCTTTCAAATTTGGGGAATTCTTTTTCCATGTATATAATTCAATCAGGAAATAAGTAAGGGCAATGGCTAAAAAAATTCAAGTACTTCAGAGATTTGGAAGAGGCTCAGAAATTAAATCAGAATACTTCTGAGCCACTGGTCACAAGGAATTGATGGAAATCTGACTGCCAAGAGTTACCACCCAACCGTTATTAAACTTAACAAGAGAATTTCTTTCCTCCTCTTTTCTTTTCTGACAGGAAGGAAACAAAAAGTTACAAGACTTGTCAAATATAATCCCACCTTTCAAAGGCCATTGTGGTCCCAGAAGAGAGAGCCCGCATGCATACCTTTCACAAATGTTATGTTAGATAACTTTAGATCCAAAGGTATTGAGGCCTGAAGGGTTCCTGGTGATCTCCTCTCCTGGCTAAATGACAGGCAGGCAGGAACATAAATTTAAAGAGGAATCTGAAAAGCCTTTCTCACTGTGATTGTGCCTTTTCCCTACCTTCAACATCAATTAGTGAGGGCTGCAGAAGTTGTGAAACCTCAATCTCTTAGGAGACTGCTTGGGAATGACTGAAATATTCACAAGCTTCAGTCAACACAAGGGTGATGAAGCTGACCTCAGACTTCTGCTAAATACAAGAAAACTCTCAGGGCAATCTTCAAGTTAAAATTCCCTTGTGCAGAGAGAGGATACGTTCACTTCTCCCTTTCTATCACACGTGCCCATGACTCAAACAGAAGGGACCTCAGGATGCTGCTGCACTCCGAATGATACAAACACAGTGGAGATGCAGCACTCCAGTGGCATGAATCACTCTGAAACACAGTCCACTCTCACAGAAAACTCATTCCAGATCTGAGGGTAGACTCAGGAGCTCAGGCTAAACATTCAGGGTTTCTGCATGTTTAATCCACCCAAATAAGAGCAAGTCATCACAGGAGATTCAGCAATATGCAGATAATTTCATGAATTTCTGGAAAAACCCTTGAGATCATCTCTTTGGACCTTCATTTCAACTACCAGCAAAAACACGTAGCAACTCTGCATGAGAAACACGTACTGGTCAAACACAGGACAAAAATAGCAGTACTATGACGGGAGCAGATTATCAACTGCCCTTTAGCAGGACACCTGGGACAAGAACTGAAGCAAGAGATACTTACCCCAGCAGCAGGTCATCAGGGACTGCAACAAAAAGAAAATAAAGCATGATTTTGCTGAACTTCCCTACTGTGAGGGACATCAACATGATCGCGAGGCTAGTGTCTCCCTAACGTACCCTTCGAGGCCACACAGGACAGCAGTGCTCTAGCCATCCTCTCTAGCCACCAAAAAGCCACAAGGAGCAGCAAAATGATGTGCTATAGTAATGCTAAGGCACTTACCAAGTACAGCAATCAGAATCACAGGGATTAATTTTAAAAAGAAATGTAGAAGCCCAAATATACTTAATTTTATAATATCTTACTTTTGAAAGCATGCAAGAAAAGGCATGCAACCTCAACATCTTACTCTGCCACTTTAATAAGTTGGTTAAAAATATATATATTGGTTTCCCTGAAACTCTTTTGGCATGAGTTGAGAACTCTGGCATCAAAACTTGAAAATGTTGTTCTTTTCCCAGCATAGTCTTGCAGGGCGCCACTGGTTTATAGCTTTTAATGCAGCACGAAACATAATGTCTTCACTTATTGGAACTTCTTGTTAAGATGGAAAGTTACACTTAAGAAAATTAGTCTGTTTGTTGTAGCTAACAGCTTAGGCTCTGATCATCCAATCTGCTGTTTCTGTTATCACTAATGGGACACAGTGTACTAAGTCTCTGTATTCCACTGGAAGATCAGGATTTTTGACTTTAAAATTCTTTGTTCCAACAATTCAAAATATTCTCTACGACTTATGCTGTAGGTTTGACTTTTCCAACTTTATTCTAATTTAATTCTCCAAAGTGATTGATCAGTTTGTTTCCACAGTTATGTCTCAGTGTATGTCTTAGTACTATTTTAAGGAGAAGTGTACCTTAAAAGGCAAGTTGATTTTTTTTTTCCTAGTTTACAACAGGATTTATAAAGCTTTTTTAAAAAGTGATATGTAGGTTTTGGATCTATTCTAACCTGGCAGGAGCCATACTGCAAGTATGCCAAAAAGCTGTCAATGTGGTCACTCTGACAGTTTAGATATTAAGTCTCTGCCCATATCCCACTCAAAGGTGTAGTGCTCAAACAGACTTCTCTGAAAGTTTATTTAGTTGGTTTTAGTGCAGTTAAAAATATTCCTTAAATAGACACTTTCCTTAGGAAGAATCATTCTGCACTACTTATCAAGTGAACACAAACAGTAATATTATTTCAGCACAGATTACAGAACTCGTTAGTAACCCTAAGTGCAATGAAGGTAATTGTTCTTAACTAGCTGCTAGAAATGGCCAAGATTTAACTGTTGGCTTACGCTTGCTTCATTCAAGCAACGGGAAAGTTGTTCTTTGCTCTGGGATCACCAACAGAACACCCTCTGCCGGTCAGTCATGCAACATGGTCGGTTTTATGAAGATTTCCCTTTCTAGTTTTTTTAGTGCGTCTATAAAAAGAGCAGCACAGTAGGCACAACAAAATGCCAGCATAGAAGTATGTAAATTATCATCCCTCAAGTGCAACCACTTACACTACAAGCTCTAAGCAAGCAGCATTATCCTAGGTTCCATGTTCAAAAAAGTGTCAACAAACTCGTCTAATTTTTGAAAGGGCCTGACTTTGAGAAGGGGGCTGCTCCTCATGATCTGTGCTTCAAACCCCTTTGTGTTGTCTCCAGACAGGGACACAAAAGCTGGAAACACCGAATACAACCTGCCACTCCTGAGAGTGAAGGACACCCCTTACGTGACAGAGTCTGCAGCAGATGCAGACAAGGGGAGGCCAACAACCCTCATTGCTACCTGAAGGTTTGACAGCACCTGTATTACTGGCCCACCGCCTGCTGGGACGGTTCTGCTTTTTCTTTACGTACCGTGTGAGGTCTCCTGAAAAGCCTTTTTGATCTCTTTCAAAAGCTCTTCTGCTACTGCTGGCAAGGTGCTGTCCATCTCCTTGGCTCTGGCCTCATGACTGGAAGCAAGACAGAAGAGAGCAGGAGACGGGGCAAACGGTTAAGGTCACCACAGATACTATAACCAGGACGGTTTATCTGGGCAATACTCTGACTCTACCCTGCAATGAGGCCAAGGAAGGGCACCCTCAGCAACTTTTGAAATGTATTTTTTACACTTTCTCGGAACAAAGGGTTTCTTAAAAACACACGAGTGTCTCTCGGTACAAAGAGATCCCGTGGAAGGGGAGCAGGAGCAATACTACCGTCAACAGGAGGAGGCTCTGCCCTGGAGCGTCCCGGCGCCGGGCCAAGG